CAGAAAAAAAAAAAAAAAAAAAGGAAAGAAAACAACAAACCCAGCACCACCACCCTGTTTTTCGGCCCCTGCGTCGGATGCTGCTGCCCAATGCTGCTGTTGAGATGCCGTCCTCCAATGATGGGCTGGGACGCACCTGGACAGAGATACTGGACTCGTCTCTGTAAGGTCTCTGTCAGAAATCATTCTGGTGCAGGAGCCGACCTGCCTCACGGATTTGTGCAAGATCGGATTGTTTACCTTTCGACTAGAGACTAACGTGTCCAAAGATAGTAACTGCATATCGATGCGGCGGTCTACACGCCAATCCAGCATCTAGTGCTTTTAGTAGAACTCGGACAGGTCTCCGGCGCATGTCCCAAAAGGTCTCAGCGAATTTGACCGTTACGTATAACGGCTTCCACGTTCAAAGACCCTGAACCACCACCACCATTAACCCTACCCTAGTCCCTGAATCCTGTTCCAATGCACAGCAGCGTTGAAACATCGGACCGAGAGAACCCAATAAGAAAGAATGGAACACGTTAATAATACTTTCGTGGTTGATTCGGGACGGTCAACGACCTGGACCGGTCCATCCTTGAAGCGATCCGCGAAGCAAGAAAAGGGTTTCAGGAAACCAAGATAGTGGAGCAACCACACCAAAAAACCACACCAACACCAATCCAATCTACACTTTTGCCGAGTGAACGGTAGTTATGACGATACTACTGTTACAGATTTACAAGAGTTTGCCCTATGAGCCATGGCCAAGACGACCCTGCCACTGTAGAGCCGAACCATTTCCTGCCTCAAGTCGATTTGTCCGTTCGTGAGGGCTAGAAAAAAAAAAAAAAGGGTGGTGGGAAAAGTACTCCGTCGTTCAGTCCCATTGTGTTCTTTCCCACCCCTTCTCAATACTAAGGAGTTCCACAGAGTTGTCCGGCCGGTACGCAGACTTGACCAGTGCCAATGGCCGACCTACCCTTTTCGGCAAGGGTGGTCGTGGGACACTTCTATTAATATGTGATTTTCTTAAGATCTTCCTTTTCCTGTTCCGTTTTTTCCTTTTTTTTTTTCGCTTTCGCACTTCAGTGTTCGCCTCCCCCGAGTGTTGAACCACAGGTTCCGCCCGTGCCGGTTGAGCAGCGCATTCCATGATTCGATCCAGGTACCCGCCCTCCCCTCGCATTTCAACGACGACTGATTGGGTGGTTGGACATGACAGCGCCAGGGGTGGAGACGAACAAACTCGTGTACCTGACTAGAAGCCTCCAATGAATTCCAACAACGCTCACGTTTACCCACCTGTGGAAAGGTGCAACCGAGGGACCTGTAGTAACAGTCGCAGTCCCGTCGCAGGAGGAATTACCTACAGGGTGTAGTACCAACACAAGCCATCTCATATCCGCCAGTGTAACCACCTCCATGTACTTGTATATGTGTGAGGTACCTGACTTATACCGACATACATACACATACACCTACACCTGCCTACACATCTAACGTACATATGCAAGGAATGCCGCAATTACCACCAACTCGCCACCGCCTAACCTCGATTCCAGCCTCCAAGAACTAACTGAACATGTATACACATACATAGTACTCCGTACATCGTACATACTACCTCCTAGGAACAGGAACAGGAACCGCGGACACAAGCGAAGCGTAGCCTCCAACCTAACCTGGTTGAAAAAAACCTACACCCCCACAAAGACGATGATCCGTGCACCGGTTTCACACGCGCCGATTGGCCGTCGGCAGCTCAGCCACAGGAATGCGTTCCTGACTAAGACCGGTCTGGATCCCAGCCTAACTAAAATAGGGGTTTCTTTCCTTAACGGGGGAAACCGAAACTAAACAGCCTCCAGCACCGATTGCAGACTACGACTTACCCAAGTTCTGTACCTATCAGAGAAGGGGGAGGGAAAAAGAACTACGAGGACTAGTTAAACTTAACCTCGGGGCTAGTTACACTGGACAATCCCCTAGTATATATTAGTATAAGTCACGGGCATGTTCTGTTCGATCAATCATCACCGAACCCCTCCCTCCATACTTGCCTCAAGTAACACACATCTACAGACAACAAAGGAAGGGGAAGGAAAAAAAAAAAAAAAAAAAAAAAAAAAAAAAGGGAAAAAAAAAAAAAAAAAAAAAAAAAAAGAAATAACCAGGCAAAAAGCAAAACAAAATCACACCATCCTTGCTGCCTCGTACCAGGCAATCATCCTAGCCATCATTTAAACAACTCGACTATTGTTTCATCTCTGCAGGGTAGATCTGTAGGTACCCGTGGGGGGAGGGGGGAGGCAAGAACTGTACGTGGTGGTGGTGGGTAGTATGTACCGGAAGAGGGTCGGAGAAAAGTTACCCTAGAATTGGTGTCGGCTTAGTCCGAATCACGATCTCGCGCGCGCGCGCGCATTCTGCACGCTACCAGGTAGGTAGGTTACTACTGGTAGCTCTTGAAGTCTTATGTACTACTAGCTAGTAAGGTCGTTAATATCCGGAATGACTTACCCTTGCGCCGTTGCCGACTACCGAAGTCAAAGAGAGCTATTCGACACGATCCTGCCGAGCCAGATCGTGACCCATTTGGTTTCAATAGTGGCTGGCCTGTTTTGCGCGCCGTTGCTGTCGCTTGGACCATGTTCGCTTCCTTTGGCTTTTGTTTTGTATCTTCGCTTTTTTTTTTTTTTTTTTTTTTTTTTTTTTTTTTTTTTTTTTTTTTTTTTTTTTTTTTTTTCTTTGCTCGGCGTTCGGATGTTGCAGTGTGACTCGTACCGAGTGCATGTTGTTGTTGTTTGCTCCTAATCATTACGCTATGGGCTATCGACTACCAGTGGAATTGATATTGCTAGGATACCGTTGGAGGTGGTGGTGCGCGCTTTCTCTCCGTCACACTACTCGGTGGACTATTGCGCGCTACGCTCATACTAAGGATCGTGAGATGGAGACTCCAAGGGTCGATTTCCTATTATACAACAGTAGGGCGCATAGAAATATTTCCTCGCCAGCCAGTAATGTACACGATGTAACGTTCAAGCCAAAAGAAATGAGTGACTGTCCCATGGGGTATCCACTTCCAAACGCCAGCAACGCTTTTCAGAAAAGAAAGGAAAACAAATAATAATTAAATGACATGGCATGATGGAAAACAGTAGGGAATCACTACAACTGTCCCTTCCGGATCGCCCCGAAGCCCTTCGTAAACAACTCGTGAATCTCAACGGATCGTCGAGGAGTGTTCATCACCTCATCTTCTGTCATCGGATTCGAACGGTCGGCAACATGGTCAGCGCTGCTGTTGTAACCGGCCAATTCCACCTCCGTCTCCATTCCCATCGGACCAGATCCTGTCTTGGTCATCACTCTCGGCCGGGAGAGCAGTTCCTGTACCTGTTTCTCTCGTGCCTCCATTTCCGCTTCGCGTGCCAGCTCAAGGCTAGACTTCTTGCTGCCGTGGTCCCAGCCTTGTTGCAGCTCTGATGCGGCGGCTTCCTCGAATCTCTTACGGATCTCCAGATCCTGCTCGTACTCTTGAAAGATATCTACATCCGTAGGGAAAAGATTGGCCCGCAATGCACTGACCATCACCTCAAACACGATGACGGCCATCACCGTAAGAAGTAAAACCGCCCAGAAGGCCAGATCGTGGCCGGATTGGAAGATGAAGTTGCCGGGCACGTGGTAGATACCGTCTCCAGAGCCGAAGTTGTACTGGCGGGACAGGATCATGTCCCACACAAACCAGCCTCCAACCGATATGATGAACACAGCGAGCGACAAATACGTCTTGTTGTGCACTTCCAACGCCTGTAGCTTGATGTTGATAATGATGACGCAGGCCGTGTATGTGAGAAGACCGGCCGAAAAGATGTCGCTTCCCGTGCGGGTGAACATCACATTGGCCCATAGACCAAACATGGTGAAGTAGACGATCATCGCCTCGCACGTAGCCATGAATGTCCAGCCCAGATATAACTTGATGTTGAAGCCGCCATGTTGCTGGCCTTTGGTGTATAATTCTGGAACAGCCAAAAGAGTAGATGCGGCGAGATCCTTGGTGAATATACCTAGGAAGATCACGGCCAGGGAGGTGAACAGAGTGTTAAACATACTCAAGCCCCACGGCTCGTACAGACTGGTACCTGTATAGCCATTCCACCGTTGATACAGCGCCTGGGTCAAGTAAAACAGCATTTCTTTCCAGAAAGTTCCCAGCGTATACTTGCAAGCTCGCAGGTAGTTCCACCGCCCGTGGACAAGGAGCAACTTCAACAAGAACCGGAATTGGGCAATCGAGTAGTCCGAAATGCGTGCTGCCTGCAGCCCTTCTTTGCCCGTAATACCTATGCCAACATGTGCCTCTTGGATCATGGCGATGTCGTTGGCACCATCGCCAATCGCAAGGGTGATCGAATCTTTCACCTGCTTCCGGATCGAATGTACAAGGAACGCTTTCTGTTTAGGACTTGCACGGCAGCAAATGACCGAATCGACCAAGATGGCAAGCTTGAAGAAGCGTGCTTTTAGAGTTTCATCTGCCTCAATCATTGCCAACGTTTGCCCGTCCACCACAACTACCGAATGGGCCACGGTTCCTTGGGTGAGATCCGAGGTGAATTTCACAATAGACTGCTCAACATCGCCAGTCTCTTGGTCAAGAATAACCAGGGTCGAGTAGTCCTTTACTAGACGGCATGAATGTCCAACATTGATGGCGGTCTCGCGCTTATCACCGGTCAACATCCATAGCTTGATGTTGGCTCGACGCAGCTTATCAATAGCTTCGGGCACGCCCTTTTGCAACTTGTCTTCGATGGCTGTTGCCCCAGTTAACTCAAGCTGCTGTTCAAGCTGCTTACCAACCTCCTCAATCTTCTCCTGTCGATCGACAAGACTGGTACACGCCTCACGATAGGCTGCCTTCCAACTGTTGTACGAAGCTTCATCAAGGAAACGGTGACCGTATAACAGAGTCCGCAACCCTTCGGTGGCGAAGTCATTGAGGTGCTGGAAGCATCTCTCAAAAACAGCTTCCTCGTTGACAACCAGGGCTTCCTCTACCAGGTCTTCTTCCTCATCATCGTTGACTGAGCTTCCCGAATCCGACATGGTAGTAGACGGCCGTCCTATCTGCGCCGAAGGTCGTGGGCTATAATACTCGGCATCGTTCCCCCTTTTGTTTAAAATACCGCCGTCCGTCTCCCTGTCGCGGAGCCAAACATCGATACTTTCCCGGAGTGTAGACATATGCCGCCCGGAAACACTAGAGCGCCTGTGCGTCATGCTAGGCCGACTCAAGCTGGTGCGAACGCCACTGGTCCGAGCCTGATACTCGCTATTTCGCCTGATAATTTCACTTGCTTCGGCTGCCTTGCGTTTGCTGGCGCGTCGTTCAATCTCAACCGCCTTCTCTTGCGCAAGGGCTGCTCGTTTGAGCAACTGCATCAGGATGCTATCCGCGCCCTTACAAAACAAGCAAATTCGCTGGTCGGGCATTCGCACCACGACCGACATCCGCTTGCGAGCACTCGAGAACTCTATCACATCTAGGATCTCATAGGTCTCTTCAGAGGGTGGCCCATCGGGGCCATTGGGGTATGTCTGGACTGTTAGGGTATTTGGCTGCCTGTCTGTGACGAGATATCCGAGTTCTTGGGCGGCCATGACTAAAGCCAATTCATCGGGCGATGCCGCTTGAAAGGAAGTATTCCCAAGTTCATCGCTTTCCGGGATACACGTGTGGCAGAGGGCGATGGCCAGAATGAACATTTTGGCTTTGCGGGCAAATACAGTGTACGGTTTGCGTTGAATGTATTTGATCATGTCAGCTGTACGATAGTCGAGCGCTGGTCGACCAGCCTTCCGTACCTTGTCGGCAACTGAAGTCGAGCTGGGTCTGGCGAGATACGATCTAGCCTCTGACACATTCGATTTACGTGCCATAGACTTCTTGCCTTTAAAACTCCGCTTTTTGTGGATAAGCTTTTCTCGACCTCCTTCTCTCGCCTCCTCTTCAAGCAGGTCAAAGTCGTGATACCACGCAGTGCCAGCGACACTCATCTTGCGGAAGCGCATCGAGTTATTCGTTAAGGTGCCGGTTTTGTCGGAAAATATGTAGCTAACTTGCCCCAACTCTTCATTGATAGTGGACGTCCGTGCCTCGATTGGCGTATCACTCTCCGGGTCGTACATGTCGATATCAGCGTTCAGCATCAGCATCTGTGCAACCTTGACAATTTCCATACTCACGTAGAGTGAGATGGGAATCATGGTGTTGAACATGATCAGGAACGAGGTGAAAATTGGACCATAGGACACATTTGCCTTGTCCAGGTACCAAGAGTTTTGCTCAACATCGTCTGACCAGTACATGTATGCCACGGTGCAGGCAACCGCCAGCACGACCACCAATAGTACAATCAGCATGACTACCCGGTTGACACGGGCCTGAAGCGCAGGTGACTTGATTCGAGGATTCTTGTTCGCGTTCATTCGGATTTTGCACTCCTCACCAGTGTAGATAACCATACCGACCGCCTGCTCAGTATTACGCATGATGCTACCACGGTAGATAACCTCGTTGTTCGTCAAGGGCATTTTTTCGCCAGCGGCAACCGTAACATTGCCATCAAATTTATAGAGATCCAAATTGGGATCCTCGACAGCGAAGTGCATGGCATTGCTGCAAATGCCATCTACAGTTGCACACACCTTGGCGACTGGTTGACAAGGCTGCTTGTTTTTGAGGTTTGTCTCACCATCCAAAGCCATTGTTTCAATATAAGCGATATCGTTGGGCCCGTCTGCATGAAGCAAGACCATATCCGCTGGCACAGGCTGATCACGCTCCAGCTTGACAACGTCTCCAACCTTGATGTCTTTCCACTTCACCATAGTCCAATCCTGGACGTCACTGGCAACGGAGACGCTATCACTCGACGAGGTTTGGGACAGTAGTCCTGCACCTGGACGCAAAACAGACACATAGCGGTTGTTTTCCTCTTTGTCCAAGCGATAGCGACGCCAGTCGTCAAACCCTTCCTTTCCCATAGAGATGCTAACGAAGATCAATAGTGGGACCAGAGTAGTGAAAGAACCCGTCGTACTCAAGCCAGGAATCATCTGCAAAATGGCCACCACAAGGAAGTAGAAGTTTGCTAGCTTGGTAAATTGAGCGAAAAATTGTCGGGGAAAGAAACTCCAGAGGCTATAACGACTAGATCGGATCCAATTTCCACAGTAGGGCTTTCCGGTCCTCTCATCAATCAAATCCTCTGTCCTAGTAGGGTCAAGAATGATATGACGGCCATCCTTGCTTGGAGGGATATCTTTAATCCGGAGGATTGTTTTGCGAGCAGACTCCATAAAGCCCTCATACCGAGCCTTAATTCCAGCAATGGCGGCCCGTCTCTTCAGCCATTTCTCATATGCGATACTGGTAGACATGTGCCTGCCTCCCTTGAGATCTTCCAATGGGTCGGAGAAATATGCCGTCGAGGTATCATCAATATGAACAGGGCTAGGTTCAGGTGCCGAGGTCTGAGTTACCAGTACGTCCTGTTTTTCATCTTCGGTCGACTTGCGCTCATATTGACCATCCCCCGTAGGAGCACCTTGGCGTGTGTCGTCGCGCGATTTCCGTGAACTCCGTTCATTTTCCGTAGAAGTCTCCTGTTGCGGGCTCACAGGCTGGGCCAATTCAATGTCATTCGGCGAAACGGCCCCAGGGGAAGTCGCTGAGACAATATTCTTCGCGAAGATAGTCCGTCGAAGCGAATACCCGCGATTGCGCGATCGCGAGCGACCTGAGTCTGGGCCTTGCGGTGATGGAGGCGACAATGCCGAGCTAGGAGAAAGGGGGGAAATCGGTCTATGTTCTGGAGATCTAACTGACAAATGATCGTTTCGGGTAATACTGGTGTCGATAGTCAAGCCCCTGGAGCTTTGCCTCCTGTTATGACCGGTATTCCTAGGCTCTTCCACGAGGGGACGCTCGAGATCGGCTGAGAAGCGAACACGGGGCTGGTGGGAATTCCTCCGTCCAGAGTCTGATAGTGTTCGCGACGGGGCAATGGACGGCCGTTCTTGACTGATACTATGCCGCGACGGAACACTAATGGAATGGCTTCTCGGGAGCGCTGAGCCCAGGCTAGGGTCATGTCCGGATACCTCTTCCACCACTATACGACCTTCATCAGACGTCGCTCCTTGCGCGTCCCGGTTCGATTCGGCCCTCGCATCCTGGTTGGGCATAGCGGGGATATTTTTCCTTCAATAGCCTCCCGGCTAAAGTGCGCAACAGTTCGGTTTGTCCAGTGGCTCTGCTGACTCTGTATAGTACTTTCTGAGGTATGGCAAGGTCGTATTCACTGTTTAACACCAAATGATTGCAATTGAACGAAGTATCGGCGGCGAGTAAACGAACAAACCTGGTGCATTCTTCAATCGAGCGGGTGGGGAGTTGAAGAAAACCTAGCACGGCGTCTATAGTCGACGGTAAGTGATACTCCGATCTAACGACAGGCTCAAGCTATGACCTGTACCAAAAGATAGAAAACAATAGAATGGTATCTCCATACGATAACGACCGTCCGTTATAGCAATAGATGGCACGACAATCGCACGTTTCGAGGAAAAACGACTGTGGAGAAGACCTCAGTTAGGTCAATAATCAAACAATACAATAGGAAAGAAAAGAAGATACCAGATCTAACAAAGGTACTAGAAAACAAAACAGAAGGAGAAGAGACCGTGGAGCGATGGCAAGGCACACCACCGCGAACGAACGAAGAAGTCAACGTCGACACCTACTGTCGTCCGCAGGCGGCGACTGGGTCGAGGCCTTTTTTTTGCAAACTATTTGCTCTGGGTTTTGGAGACCGTGGACCCCCAATGACCGTTCCCGTAAGCGGTAAGATGCCCGAAAATAGAGTAACCGCCACTTTGGGGAGAAGCAGAAAAGAAAAGAAAAAAACTAGCTTTTCCTCGGGTTTAAACTTTGCGATATTTGTATGTATGTCTCACGATCGCAATCAAAAGACGAAAACAACTCCCGAGAAGAAACACGTTGAAGGTCGCTACCGACCAACAATATAAGAAGTAACGTCAAATCAAATGAGTCGTAGAAAATCCTTCCCACCCCTCGTAATTTAGTCCCTACAGTGGCCAAGGGGACCCTCCCCACTAATTAACTTAGCGATGGTACCAAGACTCTAAGAGTCCAAGACGGCCTTCTTGACGGGTGCCTGTGGAGAAAACTGGACAGAATGACCTTAAATTACCCGCCGACCAGTCAAGGGCTTTGTTGGACCAAAGCGGTGGCTTGGAGGAGGCCACGCAAGTCAACGCAATCCGGGAACTCAATACGATGATGAATGGCCTCATTGGCAATTGTCACCCACTTAACCACCACCCTGGGGTTACATAGGACAATTCTCCCGTCAATCAAATAAGAATTTCCCTCATGCCCATGTGCGACGTCAAAGTGGCATGCTGTTTTCTTCTTGTACTTTTCGCAATCTGTAACTTAAAAAAGACAGATAACGCTTATCACCAGACATTTTTTTTCTTACTTGCATGCATACTTGCTTACTGTGCTTTAGCAAAAAAACCAGAGGCTTACGGCTATTAGTAGTACTATGAACTCCCGAGTCCTTAACTACTTGAGAGAACAAAGACCACAGGAACCTTTTTTAAATAAAAAAATAATATCTTCTAATAAACGTCTCTCTGGGTACGATGCACAGCCTCCAGAGAACAATTGGTAGAACCTGTCACTCAACCCAGGGTTCAGTGGCGGCATGTCTTCCTTCCATTCCAGATATCTTTCCACGTACCGATGGAATCTTCACTCAGGATCCCTGGGGTCAACCCCCCGGAAGTTGAATCCTACGGTTGTTGAACCCACAGTGCGTGGCAGACTGGCCACCCACGGGCGTGCATTTTACGCAGCCTTGTGGGTAAGTAGTGGGTGGCAAGGGTTCAAATGGGAAATAAATTAAGCCCAAAGGCGGGGCCAACCTGAAGTTGACTCGGGACTGAACCTTGTCATCAGGGAGCGACATAATCCTTCTCTGGGGGGCTGCATTAGGCTGACACTTTCAACGATAGAGGCTGTCCTTATGTCGTGATTCCCTCTTATCCAGGCTTTTAAACCAGGCAAACATATTTTGAACCTCTACAGAAAAAAATAAAAATGAAAGAATAGCAAAATGATAGCTATTGATTGACTCATTAACCACACCACCACGACCAAGTAACCCCATCATGAATCCTGCTCAGTGGGACGACATGGGGTCACGTGGTAGCACGGGTCCATGAACTGTCCTATTCAAGTATAGTGCCGCGTCCATCGCCTGTTTAGTCTTCTACATCTCAGGGCTCCATCGACGTCATTCAACGGGTGGGAACAACTTCCGACCCCAGCAAAACATTGGCTGTAGGTATCTACGACATATTACACAGTAGTAGTAGTAGTACGTGCTACGTAGTAGTCTTCCAAGGTGATAATCTGTCTCATCAACCGTGTGATACCTCAATTCCATGCTGATATAGCTCCCATTCGAAATACAGACGTTGCGCGCAGTAAAGATAATATCGACGTATGTTCTATCCTTAACCATTGACCAATTCCGCCGCACCAGTAGCTTTTAGTCAATTTGGGCTAAGCGCCGTAGAAGTGAACAAGTAAGGAAATCGTAATCATAATGGATACAACCAGACGTCCTGCCTTTCCGTAAAAAGCCCCTTCCCATCCCGCTTCATGCATGTTCATCTAGTACCGCGGTGGCGGAGGGGGAGCGTATCCGTAAGGACTCTGTGGTGGGGGATAGCCTCTCGTGGCACCAGCGGGCGGTTGTCCATATCCAGCAGAAGGAGGAGGAGACCCGTACCCACCATACGGCTGTGGTTGCCCATAGCCAGGTGGTGGACCCTGGCCCTGGTTAGGAGGGTAAGGAGCTTGACCATATCCCGGTCCTGGGCCATATGGGCTGGGTGGCTGGGGTTGATTAGGGTTTCCTCGCTGGCCATATCCAGGTCCCGGGCTATAGCCACCGTACTGACCTGGTGGAGGCCCTTGAGGTCCTGGAGGTCCACCCGGTCCCCGGAATCCTCCAGGTGGTCCACCAGGGCCGCCAGGTCCTTGGGGTCCTTGGGGTCCCCCGAAGCCGCCAGGCCCTCCAGGTCCACCAGGGCCCCCGAATCCGCCAGGTCCACCAGGTCCTTGAGGTCCCCCGAATCCGCCAGGTCCGCCAGGTCCGCCAGGCCCTCCAGGCCCTCCAGGCCCACCAGTACGGCCGGCGGCCTTCTCGTCCTTGGTATCATATGAGGAATCAATGGCACCAAGCATCAATTTAGCACACTATGAATTCTTAGTCTGCGGTCTTCACTGGCTTTTGTTGGCGTAGTGTCTACTTACCCAAAGCTCTCGAGTCAAATACACAGGGGGGACGGCACGAGACATCTCGTCTTGCTCGACCTCAAAGTCTGCCGGATGTTATTAGCGCACAGCTCCATTAACTTTACAGAAGATGTATGAGCAACCCACTTGAAGTGCAGTCAATCAAATTTCCAATGCTTGGGTCCTCATCCAAACTGGATAGGAAATCACGTGCCTTGGCATCGTTGCCCACCTGCGAGAACTGGAACGAAACAGCACCTCGTCCAAATGGGGTTCGCGATACCTCGTCAACAGCATAGCGAATCGAATTAGCCACGCAATCGAGAGGTTCACCGGCTGGCTGTCCGTCTGTAATGGTAATGACAAGTACCGGCTTCTGTAAGCGACCTGCCCGGGCGGGTCCCACGACCTGAGGATCCAGAACCTTATTCTTCAGACCTGTCCCCAGCGGCGTCAACCCTTGGAAGCGGACACGTGAGACCAACATGTTGACATCATCCGCATTACGGATGCCGTCGCCTCTTTCCATAGAGTTCATGAAACGCACCGAGATGCCGTCCTCATCAAAGGTAGATGCGGCGGTCGCAACGATGCCAATAATCTGCCTCAGTTGTTCTTTTCTCACGCCTCTCTCTTCAAATTCGATAGATCCACTGTCATCTACGTAAAGAATGATATCGAAGAGGGACAATTTAATGATATCCGTAGCTACCTCTGTCGGCACTCCCCATTCATGTATGATCTTATTGATTTTAGCCGGTGCATCGTTGGCCAGACCTTGGACGAGTAAATTCAACTTCTCGGGGGGATAGAAGTTTTGGAGATTCTTCTCCTGGATGGTGCCAATTAGAAGCTGGCGATAGGCGGCTACCTGCTGCTCGGTGGCTCGAGGAGCGGGAGACGCGCCTCCTGGAGGGCCATAGGGAGCACCTTGAGGTCCAGGTGGTCCAGGTGGTCCAGGTGTTCCGCGCGCGGGACCACCGGGATAAGGTGCACTCTGCGGAGGATATCCTGGTCCCTAGTAGTTTACCCAGTTAGTCCACTTTCTTGATCAAGAATTTGGTTTCAGTGAGGATAGTTTTCAAAATAAAACAGACAATATAAAGGGGATGCGACAAGGGGGGACACGTGGGATGACTATGTACATGAGAAGATGGCTGTGAAGGATATTCAGGTCCAGGCGCGGATCTAGTTGATGAGCCATGCGGGGATGGCGGAGGCGGCCTTCCGTAGCCTTGAGGGGGTTGTCCATAAGGAGGCCCATAGGGGTCTGACCCATAAGGAGGGGCCTGAGGGTATCCCTGTGGTGGTGGTGGAGCCGAGGCATATGGCGCTGGGGAGTAACTCTGAGGTGCAGGGGATTGAGACGAATGAGGATATCCAGAATATGTTGGAGACATCGGAGACGGTGAGGGAGCTGGCTTGTTTGGCGGTACTGCTGGGGCATACGCTTGGTACTGTTGGGGCGGCGCCGACGAAGTTGGATACGGCGATGCTGACCCAGTACGTAGCTGTGGAGGATATCCTTGTTGGTTATAATAAGGTCGCGACATTATTACACGGAGGCGTCCAGGTGAAGAGGGTAGAAAGAAGCGAAGGGCGAGAGGTCCAAGTTGTGGACAGCCGATGGAGAGGTGGTGAGTGATGTAGACAGAAAGTCCCAAATTCCCCTTCACTTGATAGACGGATAGGTTGTGGAAGGGTGGCGAACGCGACCAGGTAAGGCAGAAATTGAAAAGAAAAGCAAACGAGAAGCAAACAAAATTAGCTTACCGAGTTGCCGGATGGAGCAGGAGAGCCTGGGTAAGCCTGATATTGTTGCTCCAGTGAGCAACGATCATCAGCAGTGACTCAAAAAAAATGTGGTGGAAGGGAGATTGCGAGTGGTAATGAGGGGCATTGTTAGGTTTAAGGGCTGGTTATAGGGCAGCAGTAAATGGGAAAGAAAATATAATAGTGTAGCTTGGCCGCTACGTTTAGCTATTATTAGTGGGCACACTCACATTGTATCCACTGGGAGCACCACCACCAGGTTGCAGCGCTGCAGGAGGACCGCCCGTGTAGCCTGTGGGAGGCGCTCCTCCAGGTGGCCCCGAGCTGTTACCACTCATGTTCTGTGGGTTTTGACTGCCGGCAATCTTGGAAGCAAACTAGTAGGCGCATACAATATGCAGAGATTAGTGCTGGGAGTGTACTTCTATTGGGTTGAAGAATGTTGTTTTCAAGTCTTATCTCAATCCAGGGAGAAGCTTGACTTGAGGGCGGGGCAGGAACGCGGGGCATAAGAGATTTGAAGGACAGTGGAACTTACACCCATGGTGGATGTTGTTGAATCCTGTAACTTGTGACCGTCGGGGAATTCAAATGAAGTGAAACACAGTACAAGAGGGAACTATGCCTTGGAAGCAGGTCAAATAACAGATTGCGTAACTGAGAGAGAAGTAAACAGATTGAGGGGACCCGTGATGACGATTGGGTTCGTCGTCATGAGACCCGCTTTTTTTTATAATTTTTCAGCCCAGTTTGAGTCTACTAGTACATGGAAAATACGAGCATCTACTCGGACCTTCCGAGGTACTGTAGCGAACAAGGCGCAGACGATATAGAATTACGCCGTACTCCAATAGTTATCCTAAGAGGAAAGCACTTTTGCTATATTCGCCACCTATACTTAACAGTGGCATAAATACAATTTAATACATCGTTATCTATACATGGCACTACTACTCTGTACACATTCAGAGTTTAAATATATACCTTTTTCCTTGTTACTTCCATGGTATGTACCACAACCAGGTTCAGGAATAGTTTCCATGGATCAATGCAAAGCCCAATCATTATCCCATGCCAAATACAATTACAACTTGACTGGAACTTGTAACCCCCACATACGAATACGTTGACGAAGAGGATTATGGATCCATCCGTAAGGCTGAGCTGGTCTCAGCCCCAGCCTAATGGTAACGTATTCGGTCAAGATGACAATCCAAGGGACCAACTGATGGCTTGTTATGACTCTCATTCTAAATCTGTCCATCACTCTTTTCTCTTGACAATCGTGACATCACAGTCATCGTGGTTGATCAGTCACCCTCCTTCAGGTCAAGTGATTCTGGGGGCTATACCCAATCAGTCACCCCAGTCCATGGCCTGGAACGTAAGGCAGTGGATCACTGGTCAAATCATCTGGACCATACCTCAGGATCAACATGTCACATTATGATCCTCATACCTGCCTGTATGTGTAACTTTGTTGTGCACTGGCCTTGCTATCCCTTCAGATTTGCCTACAGTTCCCACGGATCACTCCATTGGTTAAAATCATCTGTCACCTCGTATTCAGTATACCTGGATTGCGATCTGACTCTTCATAAGGATCATTACCATGGACCTATCTCATGATATACCTATCTGAATACAACTGGACATGAACAGGAATCATGGCGTCAGATGAATAGTACTGGCAAAACCAGTTGAAGCGAACAAAATTGGCCTCGAATTGGAACCTCCCGTCGCCGTTTCCAAACCAATATGTAGCCACTGATGTCACTTCTCGAAAAAGAAATATATATCGGTAGAACCAAGGACGGTGAGCTCTGCATTGATAAGAAGGAGGAAGGAAAGCGCGATGCAGCCTTTTGCCCCGTTTTTCTTTGTATTTTCGCTCGCGTCTCATTCTTTTGTCTCAACACTACCAAGATCCCTTGCACCAGGCATACTTGGCAAACGCCCTTTGCAAATTTATCTTATTAAAGAATGAGCACCTGCGGTTCTTTTCTCACGGCGCTTTCTGATCTTTTTATCACTTGACAGGCACGTTCAATCGACAATTCTTCACGTGGTAAGTATTATGCTGTGTCTTCTCGCTCTCTAGCCTGGACTTCGCTTCTTTGTTCTCTGGCCCTGACGCAGCATAATTTTACTTGACAGAGCCGGAATGACACAAACAATCTTGCGGGTTGGAATCCTCACAGACGGGGGCCAAGCCATTCAAAACCTATATCTTCCTGTTCTCCGGACACTTCATGACTCCTATCGCGTCGCTGCTATCTACGACTCCTCCGGTCTGTCTTCGGAAGACAGCACTGCCAATGACTTGCCTAAGGTTGCTTCTAACCCGGAAAAGGTTCTGGATGACCCTTCCGTCGACCTTGTCCTGAACTTCATGCCGAATGAATACCACGAAACGTACACTGTGGCGGCTTTGGAAGCGGGCAAGCACGTTATGGTGGAAACACCTGTCAGCCTGAGTATTCCGAGTGCAAAGCGTATAATCGAGGCCGAGAAGCGCGCTCCGAACCAAGCGAAGGTTTTCGTGGCCTCTGCACGTCGACATGCACCTTGTTTCGAGGTCTTCAAGAAAGAAGCTGCTAGCCTGGATCGGATATATTATGCTCGATGTCGGAATATCGCAGGGCCGCATTTGGCACACACAGCTACTACGCCGAAGAACAAACACTTAAGAGTGAACGGCAGTCTACCAATTGGGCTGTCCCTCGATGACCAGCACGGCGAGCGGCTGCGCCATTGCCTTCTCCAAGAGGTATTTCTTGGCGAGGATTTGACCGAAGAGCGCCTCTCCTTGAGCCGATTCCTGGCATCCTTGGGATGCCATGATTTGGGACTGATGCGCGATACACTGGGGTATCCCGATGCCATCTCCAATATTACGGTGAATGAACCATTCTACTCGGCCGTGTTCCATTACAATGGTAGCGTTAGTCGGGGTCACCATCCGTTTACTCTGATATACGAAACGGGAACCGATTCCGTTCCTCGATGTGACGCACACCTAGCTCTCTATGGTAATACCAAGACTGTGAGCATGCACTACGACTTACCATATGCCCAGGGCAAGCCATCACGGGTGGTCGTGGAAACGGCGGATAGCAAGGGTGATCTGAAAAGAACGGAGAGTGTTAGTAGCTGGGAGGATGCATTTAATGCCGAGCTTAAGGCGTTGTATGCGTTCTTGGTTGACGGAAAGCCTGCCCGGACAACAGCGCAAGACTCTCTCCAGGATCTTAAATTGTTCCAAACGATTTTTGAGCAATATGATCGACAGTGTGGGACCATTAGAACACCCCTTGGCTAAATTGGTGACGTGTTTTTGCCTGATCGAACAATTCTGCTATTAGATTCGCCAGCTGGCTAGTTTATTCTTGTTATTGTATATGTCTTCCTACTTGTGGTTGACATAAATATTAGCGTGAAAGGCGGGGGTTATCGAGGTATACAAGCACATTATTTGGATATATTGGTGTTTGCTAAATTGTTACGTGAGATCAACTCTAGTTTTAAACGAGACCCATTGTCACTTTGATATTATATGCAAGACAGGGTCTGTCTATGATACGCAACGGTTCACATATGGATTCACCGCTTTCCCTTCTTCTTTTTCTTGTTAGCACCTCCGCCTTGAGATTTCTGCTGTTGAGCCACGGGCGCGGGCGATTCCTCCGCCTTTTCGTTGACAATACCTCCCTGCGTCCGTTCGGCGGCCCGTTGCTTGCCTTTTCGGCCCTTGGGCCGGTAACTAGAACGGTCGCGGAGGGGCAACCAGCGCTCCGGATCCGGCGTCTTGCTAGCATCATAATCCTTGGGCAGACGCGACTTTCTCACCCGCTTAGTTGCACGACCTTGTTTATCGCTAGATGTCCTCTTCCTAGCCCCAGCGATGGCCGCTGCGGCTGCCGCGGCTGCGGAGGAAGGAGGGGATATGCCGGCTGATTCAAGTGCGTTTACATCGACATCCGAGATCAGATCGTCAATTGGAGGGAGAGTGTCAACCTGGGACTCGACCTTGGCATGGTCCAGTGTTGCCTGGGAAGCAACGTAACCGGCGACGGCGAAAACATCTTGGCTGTCCTTCTGGTAGAGAGACTTGAACAAATCACCGGCGGTTGTAAGATCGGAGCGGTCCGACGAGTGCAGCAAAGACTCTGCGGCCGCACGAAGAAGTGAAGAAGGCGCCTCAACATGCTCCTGCCAATAGGCTGCCGCTTTAGCGAGTTCCGACCTGATCTGGACTCTCCGGCCTTCGAGCTTATAGAGCGAAACGAGAATGCCTAATAATCCAGGGTTGAAGCGGACCTCCTTCTCCTGTTCAGAGATGGAGTCTTCGAGCAGCTGCAGGGATTTCTCTAGGGTGGTAATGGCGGAAGTAGTGTTGCCTTCGGTCACGTAGAGTTGCACGGCTGTGAGCGCTAATCCGATGTCCTTCGGCCGCCTTTCAAGTGCGGGTAATATCGCCTTCAAGGCTGGTGTGCCAGTTTGACCACGTGCATGAGCAGCCGCATTGTAGACCGACAGGAGGTTTACGTTTGGTTTAGCAGATGGATATGATGCTTGAGAGAGCGCCTTCGATGTTGATCGGATAATACCGTCATATTTCTGGACGAGAAGATCCGCCGAGTGGACATTGCCGGTCACTATATTGTCCTGGTAATCGAAAAGCTTATCGTTGTCAACCGAGACGGGGGTTGCATGTAAGGATTTGTAGAGAGCGTAGGGGTTGGTCGTTGTGTCGCGGACAAGTGTGATGTTATTCAGGGCGACTCTCTTGGTGGAGAGTTCAGAGATACTGTGCAACAGTGAGCTTCAATGGCCGTAATTGACTTGGGGCAGGACGCATACTCATTGACGGAAATCTCCTCAAGCACCGACTCTGCCTCCTCCGACTTTCCCTGACGGATCAAGACATATAGCTGCTGCACCGCAATCGGGAGCAGCTCAGCGGCTTTATCTTCGGGGGTAAGGTCTTCCGATGTCCGGCATAGTTCTGCACAATGATGATCAGCAACCGTCTTCATGGTGGCTCAGCCCGTACAAACCTTTTGCCCGCTTGAGCAACATTTCTCCCTTACTGAATTCGCCCTTGGCGATACTAAGACAGGCCGCATTGTAGACGGTCTCGAATGCCTCCAGATCATCTCTCGTGGGCCTGTTGTGGCGGACATAGTCGGGGTATCCTTTCCATTGTAACTGGGCATCTACAGCCCACGCATTGATGCGCAAGTCGTTTTCTTCGTTCGCCAGGGCGGTCTCGTCTTTAGTCAATTCTTCATAGAGATCAGCTGCGCGGCGGAATTTCTCGGCGCGATAGGTCTATGAGACCAGGTGGTTAGCAGTGACCTTCCGCGGGGACATGCGGTCGGAAGACAGGCAGCGATGACATACAGCTTGAGCCTCCAAATGATGAGCACCTCTATTGTTCACGACTTGTGACGCTACCTCAATGGCTTCATCCAGGTTCGCGGTCTTGTACAGGACGTAAGCGTATTCCAAAGCGGCCCTCTTCTTCAAAGCATCACCTCCCTCTTCGAAGACACGCAGACAGTCCTCGTAGCGGTCGAGCTTTAGTAATGCCACCACTTTCACATGCTGCGCCAGAATATCCGATTTCGATTTGGCCAAAGCTGCGTTGGATGAGCGAAGGAATTCCTCGTGATCGTCGATCGACGTCCGCTGTAGCAGCGAACTCAGCGATTGGGTAGCCATCGTGAGAGAGGTGTTGAATAGACGGCGGTCGGTCGGCAAGATGGTTGGTTGGGCCCAGAGAGGGCACGAATTCGGTCGAAGGTTATAGCCTTAGTGGAAAAGAGCGTCCCATATACTTAATTGGACCTTGACTGAGGAGCGGGATGGCTGTGGTTGATCTCCAGATACGCCGATGTGGACTATCTGTGCGGAACTGAGATATTACTCCATCGGGGAATCCTGCACTCGGAGAGCGTTTGGCTCGCCGTAGGGCTTCCTTGGTTGATGGCCCGATTCTTCAGGCAGATTTATTTAGTCCGTTCATATTATCCCGATTTGGCCAAAAGTGTTCCCTGCCTACGTCCTAGGTAAGTACTCCATATTATTACCCCTGCTTTCCATCTTTCTTTCTACGAGTCCATTCGATCGACCACAGACCATCAGTTTCTCAAGTGACCAAGCCCGTGGCTCGATAGTGCATACTATGTATAGGCTCGTCCCCCTTTAGTGTGAAAGTCAATCATAATGTGTCACACCCTGCAAGGTTTCAGTGGCTTTTCATGGCACCTTGCTGCTATCAAATTTGAGGCATGCCTAGAACACGCCAGACTCCAAGACAGGGTCTAGGTCTTGAGGTTTCTTCCCTGGAATTGGGGGAGAATAGTCACACATCCAAGTCTACTTCACGGGATGTATACTAGGATGAGTCCTCTTGCAATGCAGATTACCCAAGTAGTTATTCGCGATCGAAGCTGAGTTGATATGTTCCAAGTTCCCACTCCCCCATGCCTCTCCTGCACAGTCTTTTCCATATCCAACGGTCACGCTATCGGTTCCTCCATTTGGAGTCAAATGCATGCCAAGATCATCTAAAAACGCCCCTAATCAGGTGATGTTGGTGACAGTTGATAGGGAGACACCTTCCAAGACCAAGATTGAGGATGAAATGAACCAGATCCAGATTGCACAGTATCGATGATCTATTTTTATATCTATGCATAGACATCCCTGTTCCATGGCGTGAGAGATATGCAATCCATTGACAAGGAAGGAGAGGTAAACACAAAATTTAACAGAAAAAAAAAAGTCAAAGACCCATCCGTATAGTAATGAACGATCCAAAAGGGAAGAAAAGGAAATGATGCCAAGCGATTGGCCTGCAGCCGTCGTCATCATCCCGTGGGCCCCTCTGGAGGGCGTCTCCAAAAGAATGTTACCCGCGCGTCTCCGTTTGCGACACTTGCTTTGCACGACCGGGTCTTTCGTGATGGGAATGAGAGGTGTCACTGTCAAATGCAACCCTTCACCCCTAACAAGATGTTGTCTCAGTATTCGGTCAAAAATTGAATGATCATTGGAAGCATTGGCAATTGCGCAAGAGGATTAATATCACAAGCGCTGTAAGTATGGAGGGCGTCGACGCCACTGACCACAAGTCTCAAGCCAACAAAATTCTCCTATTTGGGATCCACGGCCGATCAGCCCCTGTGAAAAAAAAAAACAAAAAAAAAAAAAAACTGTTGCTGGATCACGGCTCCATGAGGCAGGTGCTGCCCTGACAAGGAGACGTAATCTCATTCGATAGCCATCAAGCTCAATCTCCATTTTTTTTCTCCAAAGGACCCAGAGTGGCCAGTCCCATGGTCGATCGTCTGGGCCTTCTCCGCCTGGAAATGACTGCTTTCGTTACCAGTCCTCCAAAGCCGAAAAAACTCAGGGCAAGCGACTCGCTGGCTGTTAAATCCATGGTCCAGGGTCTCCGTTGATCGGCTGGATCTTTCCCTTCTTTGCCTCCTTTCTACACCCAAATCTGCTTAATTATCGGTCGGTTAGTGTTTACATACTGACTGATGCCCACCGTTGCTCCCGCTGCCGTCATCCCGACCCCGTACTGGCCTTCATAACCGGCTTGGAGCATTTTCTCTCGTTTCCTGTTTTTATTCTTCGTCGTGTATTACGATCTCTCTCGTTATCTTCCCCTCATCCTCCACTCTCGTTACCGCTCATCTCCTTCATCCCGCCTTTGGTGTCGTGCTGGAAGATCGAGATGCTTATGTTTTTCTAGTGCGGTACCTAATCTACTATAATAATTTCACCGTTCAGCTATTCACTTCGAGAATCCATAATGTTGGCGAAAGTTGGGGAGAAGCCCCCTACGATGGGTGCCTCGCGCGTGTGGAAGAAGAAGATACTACGTTTTACTGTCGTTCTCGGCTTGGTGGGCGCTTTTGCGTATTTCCTCTGGCCTCAGATTGAACCCCAGGAACTTGCTGCCGAGCCTATCTCCAATATCACAATCACGTCAGATGTGCAATGCGAGCCGGACTTCGACGCTCTTCGCCGTCTCGATATCCATAAATTGTCAGGATATACACGTCGCGAGGTGATCGCCGTTCCATCCTCCAACAATGCCTTGCCCGTCAGGCAAAATCTACAGACGCCCTTGTTCGAGCGGCAATCGTCGAATGACGCCGATCGCCTCTCGCTCCAGAAATCGCAGGACGATTGCATGATCCCAGAGCCTGTGACTGTCCAGGTTCTCCAGCCTCCAAGAAACGTGGATGCATCACATATCGACTTCGGTGTTGCGACAACCCTGGGACGGCTGAATGAGTCTTTAGATGCGTTCTCTCACTGGGCTGGCTACACCAAAACTCGCATCTTCGCTCTCATTGAGCCTGATATGGATAAGCGGACACATGAGGTCCAGGCTAAGGCGGACTCTCTCGGGATCAATTTGTATATTACGGAAAACGACGAAGAGTACCAACGCCGGTACTTCACTTTGGTTTCGCACTTGGGCAAGCACATGCGGCCGCAGACGCGATGGTCCTGTGTCATTGACGATGATACCTTTTTCCTGTCCATGTCTGAACTGGTGAAGGCTCTTGAGGAATATGATGATACCCAGCCTACATATGTCGGCGGTCTCTCGGAGTCTATCCCACAGATCGGTGTGTTCGGTTTGATGGGATTTGGAGGCGCAGGCGTCTTCCTATCCCGGCCCCTCGTGGAGGAAATCAGCAAGCCCGAGGTCTTTGAAGCCTGTCTGAATACGGACCACACCGGCGACCGCAGGATATCGTTGTGCATTTACCAGCACACCTACACGCACCTGACCATCAACCACCGTCTGCACCAGCTTGACGTTCAGGGCGACGTTTCCGGATTTTTCGAGTCGGGACGGGAGCCCCCCCTTTCGGTACATCATTGGAAGTCGTGGTTCCATATGGATATGGCGAAACTCAGTGTCGTCAGCGAGCTCTGTGGCGATAGTTGTCTTTTGCGGCAATGGAAGTTCGCCGACGGGTGGATCTTGACAAATGGCTTCTCGGTCATGAAGTACAGCCAGGAGCTGGATCCGAACGACAAGACCATGGAACTCACATGGGAAGGCCAAAACGGAGCCGTGCACGAGTCGTTCCTGCACGAGTTTGGTCCGTTGCGTGGAAAGGACTGGGATAAATTCAGCTATGTGCTGGAAGACTCTGTGCTCGACGGCAACAACGTCCGGCAATGGTACGTCCATCGCGATCCTGAGCAGGGCGACCAAATTTTAGAATTGATCTGGCGAGCTCAATAGAGGACTATTTGAGTTCTCGCTTTTGGCGTCTGGGGTGTTTCTGTCTTACTACATTCGATCGGCACTTTGATGCCTCTTTCTCCCCTTCATCGTTGGTTAGGGTATGCCACCACCTTCACCCACATCCCCCCTTTCTGTCTATAGATAAAAGACCGCCCTTCGGCGGAAGCGTATATACGGTTTAATCCTCACGGCGGATAGATTATGAGTTTCGTTATTTCTTTCTGATGATATCAATTTGTGCAATACGAGTGATGCATGGTTCGGACTACCCTTGTTTGCTGTTGTCTCATTTATAGCCCAACCATTGCTGGAGTATATATCGGAAATGGAAGGATCTAGATTTTCAGACCACTTCTCTGGTTTAATATATAGAATGAAGACCAGTTTTCTATTTTCATCTGTCCGTGCCAAGCGTATCTCCATCACGGTATGTACAATAATGCCCATTAACTGACTCTATAAACTCCCATACTCATCATGACCCAAGAACCAACTCCCAAAGCTCCCAAGAAGTGATTGACCCCCTGCACCATTGCACCGTCTTCACCCTATATACAAACGCTCCATATTATATACCGGGAGGAAACCCAATCCCAAATGCACGCTGCGAGCATATATACAAACCACACACAACGCAACCAAAAAAAAGTAAAAGTCCAAAAAAAAAAAAAAATCTCAAAACGAGATCTCCGTTCCCCCCACAATGCTCTCCCCAGCCGCCTCCTCCCGCTCCTGCAGATTATCCGAGATGCCCAGAAGATTGAACCCGGATTCATCGGTGCGCCACGAGATGGACGGCGGGCCACCAAACGACGGCAGGAAGTCACTGACGGAAAGCGAGCAGTCGAAGCTGATGATGCCGCGACTTTGCTCCACGAGGGCCGGGAAGAGATACGACTGGGATCCGCGGATGCGGGAGAGGGTGGTGAGAATGCCCCAGAGGAGCTCGCGGGGGTCGACGGCGGCTTCGGCGAGACGGTGGGCGGCTTTGGTGCTGAGGGAGCGGGAGACGTCTGCGACGGAGGTGCCGAGGTCGTAGAGCTTTTGTTCCTGGATGTTTGTGTTAGGGTTGTGGGGGTATAGTATATAGGAGGAGGAGGAGGAGGTGGTGGTGG